CTTCCCCCCTGGGCCATGTTGCCAGCGTGAGCATAGTGATGCAGCACAGACCAGCGGCCATCTATCTTGGCGTTGAGGTAAGCCGGGCTCCTCTCCAGCAAACTCCGCATCGAGCCGAGGCTCCCGGACTTCGCCGCGTCCAAGAAGGCGCGCTTCTCCTCGGCAGCGAGGGGGGGATCTGCCTCGAGGGCGCGGAGTCCAGCATATCGGACACGCAGGCCAACGCAGGCCTCGCATGATCACCATGAAGATGCCCCAACACGCACCAGTGGCCGCAAAAAGCCCCCTCGATGAACAGGACATTCGGCACGATGCATTCGGCATGGTGGCACGGTGCAACGACTGCCCTAACAATGTACCGCGCGAGAAGACGCTCCGTCGTCTCCCCTCTGGCTGTCCAGAAGCGGTGTGCAGATGCTCCTGCAGCAAAGCATGCGCCCAGCTCAACTGAAGCCGAACCTCGACCCTCAGACCTCCTCCAACCTCTGGAGGCTCGTGCCGACGGTGTCGCCCGAAGTGTAGGTCCTCCTGGTGGCACCCGATCCTCGAAACCCCTCCTCGACCCTCGCACCCCAACCCGCCCTCGGACCCCCTACAATGACACCCAGGATTTCCTCCTCCCGCTCCTCCTCCTCCTCCTCCTCCTCCTCCTCCTCCTCATCATCATCATCATCATCACCATCATCACCATCATCATCATCACCACCACCATCATCATCATCATCAGCAGCATCATCATCATCAGCAGCATCAGCAGCATCATCGTCATCATCATCATCATCAGTACCATCATCATCAGCAGCATCATGATCATCACCATCATCATCATCAGCACCATCATCACCATCATCATCATCATCAGCATCATCCTCATCCTCCTCATCCTCATCCTCATCATCATCGTCAGCATCAGCATCAGCATCATCACCATCAGCAGCAGCATCAGCATCAGCATCACTATCATCATCATGAGCAGCAGCATCATCATCAACATCATCATCATCATCATCATCATCATCATCAGCATCAGCATCAGTATCATCATCATCATCATCATCATCATCATCATCATCATCATCATCATCATCATCCCCTTCCTCCTCCTCCTCCTCCTCCTCCTCCTCCTCCTCCTCCTGATCCTCCGCCTGTTCCCCCTCCTCCTCCTCTCCCTCCTTCTCCTCGCCTCATAACTTGTCATACAGTAGTGGCCCGACCACAAGAAACCTTCCACACGAAACCCGACCCTCACACCCCAGGACGTCCATTGATGTTTGGCACGCGCTTTCCATAGCAAGACCATCGAAACCGAAGCAAGGCTCCCTGGAGGCAAGCAGGGTGTCCCTTGGCAGTCCAGACACGGCAGAATCCAGAGGGCCACGGCCTCAACCGCCTGGTCTGAGCTAGGCTGGACGCTTGTCCGCAGCGGTGGTCGCTCGCTCGTTCGATCGCTCCGCGCAAAGAGAGCTGCCCGAGGCTCCCCCCCCAAGCCTCGAGCCTCCCGGAATCTCCCCGCGGCGCTCGCCCTGCTTTGGGGGGACGACACCGTAACGATGCCGGTGCTCCCAGAACCACTCCCAGGGTGCGTCGTGACCAAAATCCCACCAGCCCTCTGGGCGCAGGTGCTCTAGGGCGCTTCCTTTTCCAACCTCCTTCCTTTCCCTGCTTGGGAGGTTTACCTCCCCCCCCTCCATGCGTTTGGACGGGGGGGGGGTGCCAGACCCATAGCAGCGTGCAAGATGGCCCAAGATGGTTCCAAAAGGGCCTCAGAGAGCGCAAGATGGCCTCCAAGATGGCCCAAGATAGCGGTAGATGGGTCAAGATAGCCTCCGACACACGTCCAAGAGGCCTCAAGACGGCCCCAGGACGGTTTCAAGTGCTGTCCGAGGCCTCCGAAAACCCCCCAAGAGGCCAAAATCCTTCAAAACCATACGGAAACCCAATGTGTTTTGCGTTCTCGCTTTTTCGCCTCCGATGGGCTCTTGAGGCCTCGACATGGCCCCAAGACGGTCCAAGATAGCCCCACGAGGGGCCCAAAAGGGCCCCAAGACGGCCCCAAGGGCGCCCAAGAGCGGGCCAAGAGGCCCTAGGACGGCACTCCTATGGGGGGTCCGAATTAAGGACCCCCTCTTTTTCAGCAAAAGGGTCCAAGACGGCCCCAGGAGGCCCCTCAGGAATCCCAAAAGAGAGGAGGAGGAGGAGGAGGAGGAGGAGGAGGAGGAGGAGGAAGAAGATCGACGATCGAGGACCGAGAGGGGAGGCCTCTCCAGAATGCGAAAGGGGCTGCAAGAGCCTGGCGAAAAAAAGGCCCTCAGAAGCTGTTGAGATAATTAGGGGAGCGAAGAGTGACATAAACGTAACAATTCGGAGGTCCGCGCGGAATTCTCGGATCCCAGCTTGACCCCCCTGGCGGCGCCTCGGGCGCCGGCCCTGGCGCGCTCCGCGCGCCCCGGAGGGGGGGTCCGGCGTCGATCCGAGAAATACGCGCGGACCACTGAATTGTTACGTTTATGTCAGTCTTCGTTCCCCCATGAGAAGGCCTCTGACGGGCCCAAGGTAGGGCGTGAGCGGGGCTGGGTCTGGCGGGACCTGGTTTGGGGATGGACAACCGGGGGACTCCCACCCCGCCCCACTCCACGTTAACCAGAACTGCCGTCACACGAAGAAAAACCAGCTACGGCAGAACTGGCTGAGTGATTCCAGTCCATGTTCTGGACTTCGGGGCCCAAAGGCACTGACCGGCTCCCCTCAACCAGGGTCCTGGCCGTACCCGACAGGAGGGGGTCTGAGAGGGCCCTGCCTTCTGGTGAGCCCCCCGCCAGTCCAGAAGGCCACGCCCGTCGCAGCAGCCCCTTGCGTGCGCCGCATGGGGGTTACCTATCTTTCAAGAGGCCCAGGGACACACCAAGAAGTAGACACACGTCCCAGAAGTCTCTACATGTTTCCATACTTGCTGGAGATTCGTCTTCCCATTCACATCCAGTATTTCCCATGCATTCTGGAAAAACGACGATGGCTTGCGTCTGTGTTTGCTTTTCACTGCACCGACCTTGCTGGCGTGCTGCAGGGATTTTTGCTTGATTTCTGTCAATGCCAAACACCGAAACGGCGAGTGAAAAACGAAGTGAATGTCGCAAGGGTATTGTTGGGGTCTTCATTCCTGGCCCAAAAATCCGCACGAAAATCACTCCAGGCCCATCCGATCGCTTTCCGCACGACTCCGCGGAGGAAGCGACTCCGCGGGCGCTGCAGCCCAACTGGGATGACCGCGGGGGGTCCTCAGGGGGTAGGGAATCACTCCTCCTTCTCGTCCTCCTTCTCCCCCTCCTCTTCCTCCTCCTCCTCCTCCTCCTCCTCCTTCTCCTCCCCTCCTCCTCCTCCTCCTCCTCCTCCTCTCCTCCTCTTCCTCCTCCTCCTCCTCCTCCTCCTCCTCCTCCTCCTCCTCCTCCTCCTCCTCCTCCTCCTCCCCCCCCCTCCTCCCCCTCCTCCTGCTCCTCCTGCTCCTCCTCCCTCCTCCTCCTCCTCCTCCTCCTCCTCCTCCTCCTCCTCCTCCTCCTCCTCCTCCTCCCCCTCCTCCTCCTCCTCCCCCTCCTCCTCCTCATCCTCCCTGCAAGTGGATGCTAAGGTCGGCGATATCTGGCGTGAACTGACTAACTTATAAGCCCATGGACGGGCTGAAGGCGCCCAACCCCAATGTGCTGCAAATGCGCGAAATGGCGCAGGGTTCGATAACTCCGCCACGTGGGCGCAGCCCCCGTAGATCTCAAGCCACTCAGAACACTTGTTTCTAACCCACGCGTAGGCTATGCTGGGCCACGCGTGAGCCACCTCAGCATCCACGTATAGCATCCCAGAGGCCTCCTAGATGGGGTCGGAGAAGATGGGGTCGGAGAATCGCGCAGCATCGCCGATGCATCGGCGACGCATCCGCGATACATTGGCGATGTACTGGCGACGCCGGCGACGCATCGGCGCCACTGGCGTGGAGAAAAGCCGGCTCCACATCGAGCCGCATCGCCGATGCACCGGCGATGCGGAACGGTCATTCGACCCCGTCTGCTCGGACCAAGTCTGGGATGCAGGCCTCAGCACCCCCATGTGGTCATCCGAGCAGGGGGCAGAAGCGTCCACCCAGGAGGGCCGTGCTGCACTCGCGATGAGGCAGGGCTGCGGCAGCGGAGCGCGGCGGCGCGCGGGAGGAGGGGGGGGTGCTCTCCGCCGCGGCCCTGCGCTCTGCCTCCAGCCTGGACGCCCGCAGCGCCGCTGCGAGGACGGGGTCCGCCTCCTTGGCGACGACGACCGACGACGGCGACAGTCCAGCGACGGCACCGACGACGACCGACGACCGACGACGGCGACGATAGCGGCGACGATGGCGACGACAACGACGACGGCGAAGACGCGGTGACGGCGACGACATCGACGACGGCAACGACCCGACGAAGACCGACGACACGACGACGATCGACGACGGCAACGGCGACGAAGGCGACGACTGCGGCGCCATCGAAAACGGCGACGACATTGACGACATCAACCCCAGACATCCGACCCGAGTCGTTCTTTAACAGCCCTGGAGCCCGAAGACTGCCTCCCGAGGCCGAACTCTGCGAACAAAACTCCGCCTCGGCCTTTTCAAGAGGGTCGCCGTCTGCGACGACGGCGACGGCGACGTCGAACGATGCCGACGACGACGGCGACGGCGACATCCACCGATGCCGACGACGACGGCGACGGCGATGCCAACACCCAACGACTCCGACGACGCCGCCCGACGGTGACCACCGACACCCGACGACGACCGCCGACGCCAACGCCCTGCTCCCCAGGTGCTCCCGAAGCTTCCCGGGAGCTCCCCGGGGCCCCCCCGCAGCTCCCGGAAGATCCCCAGGTGCTCCCAGGGCTCCCCCGGAGCTCCCAGGAGCCCCCCGCAAAAGTGCTCCCGATGCTCCCCGGGAGCTCCCAGAGGGCTCCCCCGGGGCGCCCGGGAGCTCCCCACCCTG